AAATCGCTACTTGTTCCGCCTGTGTCGAGTTCACACCTCTTCCAGCATCATTCCCATTCATGCAAATGCTCAAGCCTTCTGGGCGTCGTGACCCCAGTTTTTCAAGCTCTTGTAGCTCTTGCTATCCGTGTCCTTCTTCGCCTTGTCCTCTTGCGCAAGATGCCTCTTGCAGTATGCTACCACCTTGCGCATGTGGTCAATGTCTTCTTGTTCATACTTATCCGCGTCCTTCTGCGGATTATTCTGCAGTATAGCAACGATTTTACGACCTGAATCGTGGCCGACTGTCTCGCCGGAGCCGTTGTCTTTGGACCTGGAGGCGTCTTAGAGGGCATGCATGTCATAAGATTCGCAACGTCAGCACTGCATTCGTTGCAGGCAGGGCTTACCAGCCGGCTCCAGCGGATTCGTCGCTGCCAAGCCAGTCTTGTAGTTCGTCTGCCGACATGTTGACCAGCTCGTTGAACTCCCTTGCGATGCCGTAAGCACTTTGCTTGCGTTGACGTTCATGGGCCACTTACTCAATCACGGTTTCGTTGTCTTTGACCATTTTGTGATCTACTTGTGAGTCCGGAGGTTGTCTATAGGAAATTTGAGTTTGGTGTACTCCGCAATGTCTTCCCGAGTGTTCTTGTTAGGGGTTCTGGGTTGATGCAGCATTCTCAGTTGGCTCCTGTGTATCGCGACATGATGACATCACCATCGCGTTCCAACGGTGCCTAGAAGGACCAAGGAACGCCGCACGTGACTTGGCAGACCGCGTTGAAGAGCATTGTCTTTGTCCACACAGACATCGATACATCGAAAGATGCGGGAATGACGACGTTTCAGATCGTACCTGGCATCGGCGCGTTGCCGGCGCAGTGTCTCTTCCCTTCTGCGGTGACAGGATTACTATGTACATCCCACCGGATGCGCTAAACCGCACAGAGCAAGAAGTCGTGAGAGTCAGTTGTCGTGTAAATTACCTAGACACAAGTCATGTTGTAGGGAGAGTTGCGCAAGAAGGTTGCTGTTGTTGGTGCTTGTGTTGTTCCTTCTCCAGCTTTCGTCCCCAGTGCTTACTACCGAGGAGAAGTTTCTCCAGTCTCCGCAACCTCCACACCCCTTCTTCTCCCCAACACGCAGGCTGCCCCTCAAAGCCTTCACACCCACTCCACGACGTGGGAACTGCCGAGATTACGGCCTCACTTTCTCGTCCGATGCGGGTCGGACATGCCAAGGTAATGGAAGGTTCTTAGTGTCTTCCTTGAGCCTCATGTGGGCCGCTCTCGCACCAATCCGTCGCCGCAACCTGGCTTACGTTGCATCCAAACTGGGTCCCTCGCTTTACTTGACCGGAGAGAGACTGCAAGCGATCGGAGATTGCAGTCCAAAACAAGCACAGCGACAAAGCTTGTGCCGGTTCGCGCGGCAATTGTTCAAAGAGTCGGAGGGATGGTCGGAGCACAGGTGTTGAGGCTGCACAGGCCCGGATGGGGTCGTACGCATCTCCATCATCCCCACTGCCGAGAGCGTCTGTCGCATCTTGAAGTGAAGTATCTTCACCGACATGGCCCCGGCCGAAGAATACGCGTCGTCGAGTCGATATCCACAAGTCACGCGACCGTCACCAAGTTTCTGGCGCCCGGCTGTGCGGCACAACGGTCCCTGGAGCGCGTCGCTGAGTGCTTTGCGCCTGAATGCGGGGTGCGCATCAGAGGCGTTCACTTTGCACGTTAGGGATCTAGCAGGACGCCTTGTACAACGCCTACCGTCAGATGAGCATGTGAGAGCACGATCCGATCCATGTGTGCTCGAGGCCGTCTATCTCTTGGTGGGCTTCCCGGAACGTCGGGCGGATTTGGCTTGGCTATCGAATCGCGACCTGCTTCCCCACATACACGCCCCTTGTCCCCCAGCGGCTGCGTCGCATTGACAAGCCCACTACTGCAGTTTCAGACCCCCGGATCACTTTTGTTTGGCTGTGGAGGAGGTGAAGCCAAGCTGGTAAGGCCGCTCGCGCGCAATTTCGCGTGACGGCGTGGCGCGTATGACGTAGGAGCCCCGGAGTCGAACGCTCGGCGCGATGCTGGGCATTACCGCATTACGGGACACGGGACTGGAATTGGCATCGATACTTAAGATTCGTCGTGTGCCGAACAAGTAAATCCATCTTGTCTCGCACATCGGTCTTGTCGTGATCGAATCGTTACTACAACCATGGGTCTGGGCAAAGTGTACGTTTGACGCCGTTCGACTATGCATGAATGCTATATTGACTCTGAATAGTTCTGTCCGCGTTCGCGGTGCCGAGTGCGGTATCGAAGCCATCATTCTTGGTGTCATCACATCGATAGGTGGTTTCCTCTTCGGTTACGACACGGTATGCATCTGCCAATCTCTGCCTGTGAATGCGTGTGGCTCACGTAATGCAGGGTCAAATCAGTGGAATCCTCATCTTCAAGGACTTCATCCAGCGTTTTGGACAGGACCAGGGCAATGGCGAGAAAGCATTCGATCCCACGATTTCGTCCCTGCTTGTATCCCTCATGTCCATTGGTACTCTCATCGGCGCGCTCGCTGGTGCTTACACTGCCGACTGGTTTGGTCGTCGCCGCAATCTCTCCATCGGTGTGCTCATATTCGTCATTGGCAACATCATCCAGGTCACAGCGATGAACACCTGGGTCCACATGACTATTGGTCGTATCGTTGCTGGTCTCGGTGTCGGTATTCTCTCTATTGGTGTACCGATGTACCAGTCTGAGGTCTGCCCACGAGAGATTCGTGGTGCCGTCGTCGCATCTTACCAGCTTATGATCACTGTTGGCATCCTGAGTAGGTCTGGCCCAGATGTGTGCTTACAAAGTACTTACTATATGCAGTTTCCAACATTATCAACTTTGGTGTCCGTGACAATCCGGGCCAAGACAGCGATGCCGCCTGGAGAATCGTCATTGGCCTCGGAATCGGCTTCTCGCTCCCTCTTGGCTTCGGTGTACTCTTCACGCCAGAATCGCCCAGATGGTTGGCCGGTAAAGGCCGTTGGGAAGAAGCGCGCATGTCAATGGCTCGTCTCCGAGGCTTAGCACACGACCCCAACCACGAGTTGGTCAACTCGGACTTCAAGGAGATGGAGGATTCCATCAACGAGCAAAAGAGCGCCGGGCAAGGTACTTGGGTGGAATGCTTCACTGGCCAGCCATCCGGTATCCCGCGTCTTGCATACCGTACCCTCGTCGGATGTGCTATCCAATTCTTCCAGCAGTGGACTGGTGTCAACTACTTCTTCTACGTAAGTTCCCTCGAATAACGACCTCACATGCACGCCGCTAATCGTCACAGTATGGCGCGACTATCTTCCAATCCGCAGGCATTGATGATCCTCTCCAAGTTCAACTTATTCTTGGTGCTGTCAACGTGGCCATGACGATCCCCGGGTTGTACCTCATTGAGCGAGTCGGTCGCCGTGTGCCGCTCGTCATTGGCGGTCTCTGGCAAGCTACTTGGCTGCTCATCTTTGCCATCATCGGTGTTGCGCTCCCACCGCAAGACAACCCCACTGCCGGTATCGTCATGATCGTCGCTGCTTGCATGTTCATTGCAAGCTTCGCCGCCACCTGGGGTCCTTTCATTTGGGTAATCATTGGCGAAACTTTCCCGCTCAGGACTCGCGCGAAGCAAGCCTCTTTGGCTACAGCGTTCAACTGGCTCGGTAAGCAACATGCTTTCTTGTGCCGACTTCGCTTACTAACGACCATTCTTAGGCAACTTCCTGATCGGTTTCCTCACACCTTACGCTGACGACGGCATCGGATACGCCTTCGGTTTCGTTTTCTTCGCCTGCAACTTCGTCGCCGCCGGTGTCGTTTACTTCTTCGTCTTCGAGACCAAATCGTTGTCTCTTGAGAACGTCGATATCATGTACTCAGACCCGAGCCTATCTGCCAGGACCAGTAAGAAGTGGGTCCCGGCTGGATACATCAGCCGTAACGAACGCGACGACTCATACTGGGAGAGACGCCACAGCGCTGTCGGCGCTACTGGTGCTGTTGGATCTGAGAAGTATGGCGACAAAGATGTCGATACTTCGCCCGAGAGGGGCATGTCAGTGCATCAGGAACACATTGACGAGGAGCGCCGAGGTTAGGGTTTCTCTCGATGCATACTCAGTTCATATCCTGGTATTTGGGACGAAGATGCATTCGCACAGCTCAGTGAACCGCTTCCTTTCAGCATGACGCCGCACTCTACCAAGCGGTATACATAATACACAAACTATCCCATTCAGTACAATATCATCTACTGTATCCAGTGTCCAAGTCTGCTTTGTCTCCTGTTCCGTGTACCTAATAACAAAATGCCGACACAGCCACATCCCTGCTAAATTTAGCGTGCTGCGTGGCGCATTCCACAAACAACGCGTCAGCTCCACGTCTTCTCCTCAGCCACTCTCCGCTTTCACTCACCAGAACAACAAGAACAGCATCTTCATTCCTCTGTACTTTAGCTACTCAGTACCCAGGCTTCCGCTCTGCCCACGCTCAAACACTTCGTACCACAGAGACGTACAACTACACCGCCATGCCGCCAGCAGCATCGCCTCGCAACACCAGCACGCTCGCCAAATTAGCGCGCCGGACCCTAGTCACAGCGGGGCCGGCTGTCGCCTCGCAGGCTTCGCATCACTTTAAGCGCCGCGGATTGAGTGTAAATCACACCCAAGGGGTTACGCTGGGTGTTATTGCTGCGTATGTTGTCGTTATTGCGTTGTTGTGGAACTTGCCGTATGTACGGTGGGTGTTGTGGCCGTTCAAGGTATGTAGGTAGCGTGGGGCAATGGGAGATGTTGATAGCTGACGAAACCCACAGATGCTCGTCATAGCCTTTCATGAATTCTCTCATGCAATAACATCCTGCTGTACCGGCGGGCGAGTGGAGTCCATCTCCCTTGATCCCCATGAAGGCGGTGTAACGCATATGCGCGGCGGCAAGCAATTCATAACTCTGCCTGCTGGCTACTTGGGCTCCTCATTGATAGGTGCTCTGCTGACCTTCTGTGGCTTCAACATCGTGGCATCCAAAGTAGCGAGTATAGTGCTAGGCGTCTGCTTCTTGCTGACACTATGGTGGGCGAGAAAAGACTGGTTGACTATCGTCACAATTCTTCTCAGCGTAGGGCTACTGGTAGCCTTCTGGTTCATCGAACATGGCGAGGCGTTGAGGTTCATGGTCGTAGGTGTCTTTCCCTGTCCCCTCGAAACGTCCTTGCTAACGCCGCTCCAGCTTTTCATCGGCGTCATGTCTTCTCTCTACAGCGTCTGGGATATCTGTGACGACCTCATCCTCCGCAAGGTCAACTCGTCTGATGCCAGCGTGTTCGCTAAGCGGTATGGCGGTTCGTCGCAATGCTGGGGTGTCATTTGGTCGCTTGTGTCGTTGGTGTTTATGGTATGCGGGATCCTTGCGGGATTGGCAGCCTTTAAACAGAGCTTCGAACAGCAAGAGAAGGATAGTCAAGACTTTATTCCTACGGTACGGATGATGATGAGGGTGTGATCTGTCGTCCAATAAAAGGCCTTTTCTGGATTGGCGTCTGTAGATTCGGCATGTGTAGTTGGTGACGCTTGATATATCCGTATAGCATTGAGCCTTGCAAAACTTAGATCATTTATGACAGGGGAATGACATTGACACTCGTAGTTCAAGGGCAACGAGAGTGTTTTGCGGCAGTAATGGTTAGCCGAAAAAGTACCTTGGAGCGAATGGAGTTGGCAATCGTATCTGCGTTGGCATGGAAGAAGAAAGTTAAAGGTACAAGTTCCGGTCGCGCCATGCATGCAGCTCACGACCACCCGTCATGGTAAGAGTAAGAAAGTCGTTACCATCGAAAAGAAAAGGGGTCTCACACTTTTGGTCCGCGGCGTCACCAAATCCAATCTCCAACGTGCTCATTCCTACATGCGTCTCTACCACCGTCTCACTCGCCTCCAAAGAATCCACCAAACTCCTGTTCCAGAGCCCGCTTCATCCGCTCAAGCACAACCCTGTCCTCGCCATACTGTTCCTCGACTTGAACCAAAAGCATGTCGTATACGGCGTGTCCCATTCCATGACTGTTCCCGAGGTCTCGTCTTGTTGCGTTTCTTCTCCAAGGCTTAAGTTCGTACGGTGAGAGTCTGAGCAGTATGTTTGCTCTTCTTGGACGAGGGCTCGGACGTTGGCTCCTCAGCGGGCCGCTTGCTTGTTTTTGGATCTGTGATTGGTACCATTAGGCTGCGAGACCTAAGCACCGCAAGTCGTCGTTCGAGTTAGGCCATGTTGAGTCAGTTGAAACTTGGACTCGTTCTGTGGTAATACTTTTGGTTCGTAGAGTAAAGTGGGGTCGGTGAGATAGAGACAAAGGCGCAGAGACGGCTTATGTATCCATGGACAGGAGCGGACTCTCTCATTCCCGGGTAACGGAGAGTTGTAGTGGGTTACATATTGATTAGGCTTTGCAAGATGAAGAGGAGATTGTGTTGGTGATTTGCAGGAGATGGACAAAGTTAAGGTAACGTCGGGAAGTCTAGATACCCACGCAAGTCTTGATCGAAGTGAAGGTGAGAAGAGGGTAAGTTCAGAACGGTTACACTATTCTGATACCAAGATGTCGCCGAATGGAGCTGCTGCTTATAAGTGCTCGTACATCGAAGAATGTGTAGCGCTTACTGCGGTTGGTCACGGGAGGTGGCTGGCCAAAGGGAAGAGTGAGGCTAAAAAGAGTGTCGACACGTTCACATGTGATTAGATGAAGATCCATATAGATTGCAATATCTCCCCTAACGCAATCCCACCCCCTTCACACTTTCGAAAAGCGCCTCCTCTCTAACGAGCACGGCGCGATTCAAATCCTTCTTTTGCACGCTCGGGATGCCGCTCAAATGCAATGTCAACTCGAGCTCACCCACCAGACTCTTGAGCACATGCTCCACGCCTTTCTCTCCTCCAAGCGCCAGACCATACACATACGGCCTACCAATCAGCACGCAGTCGGCTCCTAGCGCCATGGCCTTGGCAATGTCAGCACCCGATTGTATCCCGCTGTCGAAGAAAATGGTCAACCTATCCCCAACGGCATCAACAATATGTGGCAGCACGCCCAACGACGAGTTCCCTCCATCGAGCTGCCTGCCTCCATGGTTACTCACAACGACGCCCTGCACGCCAATTTCCACCGCCTTCCTCGCATCAGCCAAGCTCTGAATGCCCTTGAGCACAATCGGCCCATGCCAGTGTTTCTGGAGAAACTCGACATCCTCCCAACTATGGCTCTCGCCCGGGAAAATCGTCCTCATCCATTCTGGCGCCGCAGCCTCCATCTTTCGTTCTACATCCACGCCATGTCTCGCTTTGAACTGTTTCCGGAACACAGGATCCGTCATGCCAAGTTCTACGCCTGTGCGGTCGGCGCGCATGAAGGGGTTGTACCCGTTGTCCATGTCTTCGGGTCTCCACCCGAGGATGTACGTATCTAGAGTTACAAACAGAGCTGTAAAGCCGGCGTTCTTTGCGCGTTCAAGTAGCGAAATGGTGATGTCGTCGTGTTCGCGTGACGGCCAGTAGAGTTGGTACCAGCGTTGACTGTTGGGGCCGTTCGCTGCGGCAGTATCTTCTATACTCGTACTACTTGCCGTACTTAGGATGTACGGGATGGCTTCTTTGGCTGCTGCTTTTGCAGCCGCGACCTCGCCTTCTGGGTTGAAGATTTTGAGTACACCGACAGGCGCCATGGCGATGGGTGCTACCATCTTCTCCCCAAAGATCTCGGATGTCAGGTCAGGGAAGCCGTCGTACCTGACTAGGCGGTTGGGTACAATCGACCATCTTCTAAAGGCACTGCGGTTCTTGTCTGTGGTCTCCCGTACGCCGGCGGATCCGTATACGTAGCCTTTTGAGTCGGCTGACATGCGACTGCAGGCCAGCTCTTCCCATTTGTCAGCCTGGAAGGTGAGCGGTGGGCGTTCAAAGTCCAGTCCGCGCGTATATGTCTGCATTTCGTAGTCGACGGCATCTTGCTCTGGCTTGCGAGTTTGGAACTTGGGATGGTGTTGGGTCGCTGTAGGTTCGGACATGGTGGCTTTGGGTCTCTAACGGGTTGAAGTGAGGATTGAAGTAAAAAGTCGCGAAGAAACCTTCCGAGGGATGGCGTATGGCTAATGCACGTCACACCATGGCAGCTTCGCGGATACTTTCGGAAACGACGCAGTGACGTCACGCGCTGTCATGGCAAAGCACCTAGGTATGCCTAAGCATGCTGACAGATGGAGTACTTGCGGACACAGGTCCGTGTGGTGATGCATTTCTACCCGTCTAATAAAGTGCCTCTATGTGTCGGCTCCGTGATGGCAGCCTGCGCAAAACATGCAGCCTCGGCCTGTGAAGAAAGGCGGGCATCCCAAACTCCATCCATGCAAATGACGACCATGGCAGTACAACAAGCAAGGCTACGTGGAACGTCTAGACAGCGACACAGCCGCCGTCAATCTTCAGGTGGCCGCCGGTCATGAACTTGCTGTCTTCGCTGACGAGGAAAGCGACGACGCTGGCCACGTCGTCGGGGCTGCTGAAGCGGTCGAGGGCAGTCTCCTCCTTGAGCTCGGCCAGCTTCTCCTTGCTCCAGCCGTCCTTGTAGCCGGGGGTCTGGATGATGCTGGTGTGGATGGTGTTGACGCGGATGTTGAGGGGGCCGAGCTCCTCGGCAGCGGTGAGGGCAATGCCGCGCAGGGCGAACTTGCTGGCGCTGTACGAGATGAGGTTGGGGAAGCCGCGCAGGCCGGCGATGGAGGAGCGGATGATGATGGAGCCGCCGGCGGCCGTCGTCTGCATGGCGGTGGCGGCGTACTTGACGCCGAGGAAAGCTGGCAGTGGTCAGCGGGTCACGTGGTGGGGTCACATGGGGTCACGTGGGGTCACGTGGCGTACCGGACTTGGCGTTGATGGTCATGATGCGGTCAAAGTCGTCCTCGGTCACGTCGAAGATGCTCTTGGACTCGCCGCGGTGGCAGCAGTTGAGCAGGGCGGCGTCGAGCTTCTCGAAGCGCTGGACGACCTTCTTGGCGCAGGCCTCGACGTCGGGCTCCTTGGTGGCGTCGGCGACGATGGTCAGCAGGCGCGACTCGATGGGGATGCCCGTGGGGATGGCGGCCTTGAGCACGGGCACGGCCACCTCGAGGGCCGTCTGGTCGATGTCGATGAGGGCGACGTTGCAGCCCTCGATGAGCAGGCGGCCGGCCGACTCGACGCCCACCTTGCCGCCGCCGCCCGTGATCATGACGACCTTGCCCTCGAGGCGCTGGATGGGCAGCGGGCGCGTCAGGTTGGTCGACGTGGGCGCGCGCTCCATGCCCGGCCGCGGGGGCTTGTTGAGGTTGAGCGTCGAGATGGCGGCGCCGGGCGTGCGCAGGCTCTCGGTCGTGTTGGCGCGCTGCATCGTGTGTGTCGGCGTCGTCGGCGTCGTCGTCGTCGTCGTGCTGGGTGCGTCCGCGATGCTATTTCTACGTGCGGTGCTCCCTCTCACCGGACCCGTCGTCTCCCTCAAGATGACGTAGCGCCGGGGTTCCCTAGGCGAAATCTTTTCTGCAGCCCGCGCTGATCAAACCCGTCCGTTGAGCCTCCTGCTGGCGGCCGGACCCACCGCCCCGCCCTGGCAGCCAATGCCGCCCGCCGCCGCCATCACTTATCGCACCCCATGCGCACCGCGGTGGGTGCGGTGGGCAAGACACCTGTCGCGCAATCTGCGCCGTTCCACCACTCAGTGACGCCCGCCGCCGCCTCCCCCAGGTGTTCGAACACGGCGGTCAAGCACTGCGCTATACTGCCAAAGCGGCAGGTAGTCCGGATCCATTCGTCAAGCTACTGCCCCGTTGCGCCCGGCTAACGCGGAACTTAGGTACATGGACACGTTGACATCCCCTTGCTCTCCCACAACCTCGCTCTCACTCACCAGTCCAGGAAGTAGTCGATGCCGTCCGCCAGAGCTGCCGCGCCTACTGCCGCGTGGTCACTGAACGGGTACTCGTGGATGCTGACATCCCTCAACGCCGGGCTGCCCTCCAGCCTGCTGTACAGCTTCTGGCTCAGATCCGTCATGCGCTGCGGCACGAGGATGCTCTGCCTGAACGCAAACTCCGCGTCCGTCTCCGTCCGTCGCTTCACCAGCTTCTGTTCGAGCGCGCCGTAGCTTATCTGGAAAGCAGGCTTGGTCGCCTTGGCCGTGTCGCTGGCCGAAGGCGACGCCAGCGGTGCGAGGAAGTCCGTGTTGTTGAAGACGTAGTCGTCGTTGAAGAAGAGGGCCGGAGAAGCGCTGAGGAACGTATCGAAGAGATCAGGCCGTACCGTGAGCGCATACAGGACGAAGAGGCCGCCAAAGGAGTGGCCGTAGAGTGCGTCGCGGTCAAACTCAGCTTTCGGGAAAGCCGTCTCCTGAACCCATGGCCGGAGAGCGTTGTCGATGAACTCGATGAACTCATCCGCATTGGACTGCACGCCGGGCACCGCAGGTAAGGGGCAGCCATCGC